ATATATATATATAAAGTACCTGAACCTGTATCAATTAGAGCAATATTTATTATAGGCCTCAAATTTTGGAATTAAAAAATATATATTCTCTTTCAGAGCACGAAATGAGTTACTCATATTATGTGGTTATATTGGTGCTTTATTGGCTATCAAGAGAGAGTACCAAAGCATTGTTCCAGCACTTTATGAGTACACAAGGTAAAAAAATATATAAAGTACCTGAACCTGTATCAATTAGAGCAATATTTATTATAGGCCTCAAATTTTGGAATTAAAAAATATATATTCTCTTTCAGAGCACGAAATGAGTTACTCATATTATGTGGTTATATTGGTGCTTTATTGGCTATCAAGAGAGAGTACCAAAGCATTGTTCCAGCACTTTATGAGTACACAAGGTAAAAAAAATTTTTTTCTTCTATTATGAAATTAGAGAATTATTTTCCTAAAATGGATAGCCTTTAAGTGGATTAAAAAGCAACTGTATTATTACATAGAGGTAATGTATTATTACCAAATGTAATATTACATGCATCCATTTATTCCCTCAGCACGTGCTTTGTAATAAAGCAGCAATTAAATCTATGAATTAAGAATCCATGAGGCTGTAAATAACGGAATCCTAATACTAGCCTAAGTAGGTAGAGTTGATTGGTCTTGTGTGTCGACACTTGAGAGAAGCACTCCTGGGTTGTTGGAGTTATCCATGGATTCCATTAAGAACTTGAATTCTTCTCATCTTTCAACTCTGACATTCATGGATTCTTTCCTCTTATATGAGTTTCCTACAGTTAAAGACTCAAGATGACTGCTGGCCCTCTATATATTATACCTACATTCTAAGCAAAAAAGAAAAGGAAGGATGAGAGACAAAATATAAGGGGCATTTTATTCAGGAAGGAAAGTTCTCCTTAGGGATTCAGTCCTACATTCCACTTGCCATAATTGTATAACCTTACTTTTAAAAAATGACATGAAACTGGGTATGTTAGCTTTCCAACCTCTACAACAGAAAAATGCAAAATAAAAGGAGTTTGTGAATGGCAGAAAATATTCGATATTCAGTCATAACCTACTGACAGGTTAGGGTTAGGTTACATTTTCTAAGACCCTTAAGCCTTTATGCTTAAAACTTGTTCTCTAAAATAAAATTCACAATGCCTTTCATAAAAATCAATTTTTAAAACTACTAGTTGGTAAATGGCATAGTAGGTGACCTTTTTAACTCTTGATGCTCAGAGTTTAAAAATATATAAATTAAGTGATTTTTCTGAGTACCCTTTATCTGAGTTAGAGGATACTGAGAGAATGCTGAGAGAATTCTTAACTTCTTCCCCAGATATAGGAAAATTTGCTGCGACCTAGTGCAACCTAAGCAATGATATGAGATTAACATTATCAGGGTACTCGAGGAAACATAGGTTTCTATGCAGACAACATAAACCAAAAAGCAACTTTAAACAGAATTAAAATATAGGAACACTAGGATGTATTTTAGAGAATTAAAATAACATTTAATGAAATGTTCAGCTATTTGTACTTTAGTAATAAACAAAATCATCCATTAATATAAAAAATAAAAAGAAGGGTTTTATTGTAAGTCAGTAGAGACTTAAGAACATTTGTCTGTTAAAGGAAACATGTTAATTTAGAAAGAAAACTGTCAATTTTAAAAGGTTCTGATGACTCAGTCTTATCTTACTGCCTATTTTTCTAGCCCACTAAACACAGTTCTCCAAAATTTTGTTCTCTGATTCTCTCATCCTTCCTTTCCTCCCCGTCTCACTCTCCTGTTTCCACTTTTTTCCTTTCCTTTCTACAGTCCCCAAGAATCTTCTCTATATTTTAGCGTCACTTGTCACCTCTCTGAAGATAACTCATTATTTTATATTCAGCATAACCTATTCTTCATACTCTCCCGGCTTCAAACTCACTATATTCAAAATTAAAATAATCTTCTCTGATCTATTCCTTCTCCTGTGCTCTTCCTTGAATGTTACCATTACATTTCTGTTATCTGGGATTCAATGATCAAGGGCATGATTAAGTCTTCTGACTCATTCAGGCTATTTTTCAAAATTTCTGGTTTGACTAACCTCTCTCTTTTTTTAGTTCATTTACTTATCTCCTTACTCCCTAAATCCCTCATCCAGCCAATGTTTCTTGAGCATCTGGGACTTGTCGTGGATTTAATTGCTGATTATACAAGTGAGCATGTATACAAAGTGTCATAAAATATGGTTAATGTCTGTATTTTTTAAATTGTTATAGTAAAAGACTCATTGACATTCATCCCTGTCAAAATACCCCCTTGCTGAACAAACTTATCTCATGATTCCTGCTCCTTTATGAAGCAGCTCAGCAAGTGGTCTTTTATGGGTATCTTTAGTTCACTGTTGTGGCTGCCTCTCAACTTTGAGGAAGAGCGACCAGTCACATGACGCCAGATGTGGTGAACAAGGAGGATGAGGACACACTGTAATGTTTTTACACTTTCTTTTCTGTTGGATGGCACTTCGCAGCATTACTCATTGTATTTTTTTAAATCATACCTCGTAAAGAAACTCACAAAAGAGTACTTAGAACTGCTTCAGAAAATGGCAAAAACAGTGAAATAAGGTATTTCAAGGGAAGAGTATGTTGAGAAAAATTAATGACAATGTGTCTTACTGTAATAACGTTAAAATTTAAATGCTACCATATATTTTGATCACACCTTATATGTATGCATATATTTATACATAATATACTTACACACATATAGCCGTGATAAATGTACACAGTTGTAGGTCATTGTTAATTCCAAAATTGCAGTTAAAAATTATTTTTTCTCATTTCTTAGTTTTTATGACAGATGTTAATTTCTTTTTCACATATTTCAGTCAGCTATTAAAACGTCGAGAAGTATCAGTACCTTTAAAAATGGAAAACCTTTCTGAGGAATTGGATGCTTGGAGAGCTTGCACACAGTTCACCAACCGGTGAGTGATGATATAAAAATTAGAGTACAGGAAGAATTTAACGCTATAGAGTTTATAGGCATAGTCTCATCATCAATTATAGCAGAATAATGAATCTTTGTTTAGAGTATAGCCATCAATAATTTATAATATTTTTCTTGTCCTTTTAAATTGTTGTTTTTCACTAATTTGTCAATAGATGATTTGCCTCCCTTTATAAGGGGAAAATAATTAATCATCAGAAGCTATTTTCACCTAAACCTCAATAATTCTTTTGATTCTACCAAAAAGATTTAATATCTGTTGCAAATACAGATCATCAGAAGAATCTCCATGTACACCCCCTTCCGATTTACAAAGAATGGTTTATGCAACTTTGTTAAAGAGATTAAAAGAAGAGCCACTAAAAAGAATTATTGGACCAGATTATGTGACTGGATCAAATCTTCCAAGTCATTCTGATGTTCACATCTCTTGTCTTACAGGATTAAAAATCCAGGTACAGCCTCATTTCACATATAGTGCATTTCTATTACATTTATGTTTTATTTGAAACATTATCTTAAAATAAGCATGAGAGAAATATAAATAAGTAACTATAAATAGGCAGAGGGCCCAGTAAGAAAATATTGCCCTAAGAATGAAAGAATTATTTCCCCTTAAAAGAAATTCAAATCATCATTACACTACTATCATAGGATTAATTCATGTCATATAAATATATATGCACTAGTTACAAATATGTCTTAAAATACATATAGGCCATATCCTAAAAGAAATTAAATAATAAAGACAAAATGTCAACCAATAGTTACAAAAGATTTTACCACAATAGACTAACTTTCTAATCTCTATATGTTGTAAAAGACAAAATAATGAAAACTAATGGATACATGTTATGAAGTATTTTGTGTGTTTTTGCACAAGTTGCTGAACTTTTCAACAATTAAAAATTATTGGGTTCCATCATGAGGGGTGACTGATTCTGAAAACATCTCCCCTAATGTACATCAAATTAATAATAACGAATGATGCCAGGATGTCTTCCTGTGGCCCCGGTGTGTGATTACCTTGAAAAAATAGAGAAGTCCTCATCATCTTGGAGCCAGAACTAATTGTGGGAGCCCTAATTCAGCAAACAAAGCCAAATTCCATGAAATGTTATGTAGGGTACAGACTGAACCACAGAACTCCACTTCCCAGTAATGTGCACATTTTAATGAGTCCATTCTTTTATTTCTGATAGATGTTAAAAATTACACTTCAAATGCTGGCCTGCCAGACCAATGAGGAAGTAAGTTTATTACACAGCCACTCAAATTAAATGGAATAGCTAGATACATATGTAAACCTAACCTATAGTCTAGCTTGCCACTGAAAACCAAAACTTCAGGGCACACCAGCGTGTTCCAAAACCCAGGCCACTTGAGATGTAAAACTTTATTATGCACATCTGTTCAGAAACAGAGAGCCAAAGTAGTAAGTTCAATAACTTATAATTACAAGTGAAAAATATATGGAATTTTTGGAATATGTCTTCAGCACACACTGCCCTCTATACATCATTTCAATACTTGGTAACTTCATGTTCCTTTTCTCTCTCTTTTTTTTGTACCGGGTTTAGAACTCTGGACCTTGATCTTGCGAGAGGCACCACTGAGCTAAATCCCAGGCCCCTTTCTCCTCTTTTTTTTTAACATTCCTTTTCTGCATGTAGGAATAGCCAAATGTCCCAGTAGGTATAACTTCTCTATACCCAAACCTGTTATCTCATATGCAGTAGGACGCACATGACTGATAAATATGGAATGCTACCCTCTGAGGAAATTTCCATTTCAACAGAAAATTAATGTGTCTAGATACTTATGCTGAAATTTCAAGTACCTACTAATATGAAGCTGTCTACCTACCCTATGATGGATTTTTCAGTATCTAGAAATAATTAGCTAACTATGAAGTATACCATTATAGTCATGGCTAAAAACCTGACAGCTTTAGAACTTAATTACAAAAATAAATATTTTTATTTCACTTTGTGGTTTTTAAATGTTTTTCCTTCTGAGAGCTAGGTAATTTGGTTCAAATATTTTTTCATAACCACCCAGAACAGAATAAGTGATATAACTAAATGGTAAACATGCCTTTAAGTCACATGACAAAATCAAAGTTTAAATTAGATATATAGGTAGACTGATTGATTGATCAATCAATATATTTTTCATCTTCTACAGAGCAGGATTGAAGTTTCTGGATTTAGTATTTTACCCAAATATCCCTAAAAGAACACATGATTAAAATTGTGAAGTATATTTAAGTCAATTATCAGATTATATAACTCTTTATAAAATAAGTTAACTGTGTGAAGTAATAGATTAACAATACCTATTAGCATCAGTAGCACTACTGCACATAAAAAAATTCAAATTACTAAATGAAATTCTGCTTTTACAGCCATCATGGAATGATATAATTCTGATATACGAAAATGTTTCTATTTGATAAGCAGCTCACAAAAACAAATTTTTCTCATATTCCTAACCTTCCTACTAGCATTAAATATCAACAGTGGGTTTTACTGCAGTAATTCTATTTCTAGAAGTTTAAAGAGATGCTGTAAATTTATAATCTCACCTTTTCTCTACTTTCACTGTGTGTAGGGCCCTGTGTTTTTCCTGGAAGATGGGAAATCTGCTATTTCACTGAATGATGCTTTGATGTGGGCAAAGGTGAATCCATTCTCACCTTTAGGAACTGGAATACGACTCAATCCATTTTGACAGAAGATTTTTCTCCGTGTTTGTTTTTGGGGTTTTGTTGTTGTGTTGTTGTTGTTTCTGTTTTTTTGAGAAAAGGTCTCACTATGTAGCTGAGTCTGACCTGGAACTCACTATGTAGCCCAGGCTGGTCTCAAACTCCCAGTGATCCTCCTGCCTCAGCCTCCCAAGTGCTGGGATTACAGGTGTGCGCCACCATGGCTGGCTATCTCCATGCTTGTTTTTGTGGGGTTTAGTTTTTGTTTTTGTTTTTGCTTTTTTTAGAGCAAAAAAGCTTTTTTTTTTTTAACTTCTGTGAGTTAGTATTACCTTAATCTTGGTCCGTCGTCTAAGAGCTAAAGGTTGGGAGGAAGCTTGGGGCTGGGAGACATAGGGAACAACAGTTAATTTTATCCACTGACTTCAAAAATAAAATATTTATGTAATTTAAAGGAAAAGTAAGTGTCTCCTCTATAAATTGGAATAGCCACATTTAGGAAGAAGGTAATATTTAAATTATGAAGGACTGGACAGTTTAAACGCTATGTAAGTTTCATAAGGAATAAAATATACCAAAATACTATATTGCCGAAATAGTGAATGTAAAATAGAATAGAATCCTTCTTGGTATATACAGTAAGAACTTAGTGAATATTTGAATAACTGAATATCGAGAAATATCAAAATGTAAGGTGTACAGAACTTATCTTCAAGTTAATAAACACTCCAATTTTTCTCTTCATCAAATATATAGTAAACAACTAATTTTAGTTCATATTTATTGAGTTTTCAGTGACAAGCTTAGTAAATATCAGCATACAGATACATTCCAAAATACTCTTGAATTTTACTTCTTTTAAAAAAAGAAAATATGGGCCGGGATTTAGCTCAGTGGTCCACCACCTGCTCTGCAAGCACAAGGACCCAAATTTGAACCCTGGTACCAAAAAACAGTAAAAAATAAAAAATGAGAAGTAAATTAAAAAAGAAAATATTACCAAGTTTTTAATGTGAAGTTCAATTGTCCCATTATTAAAGTTCTATAAACATGAGTTACAAACATAAAATGTCATCAAATGTGAGAATTTGCATTAAATGATAATTAACTACTTTAGAAGTCACTTGGTAGAGATGAAAATTTGTTTTGATTTATGTTTAATATTGTTATTTATGTAATAAACTTTGAATTTTATTAATGTTCTTCAAAACATAATTTGATGAAAATTAGTTTTGAATACATTTTATGAGAAAATAAGATACTTGTTGAAATTTTAATATATTGGGTGAAGTTTTTAAATACTTATTAAAATAGTATATATTATGTGTCCACCATATTTATCACATCAGCCATTCCTAACCCTAAAAAAGACAATATAGGCTAAAATCTTATGTTATTAAAATACAGTAAATACTAAAGAAAAGAATTATGTAACTCAGTGATGCCATGGTTAAAATGTACCTGGAGAATGTTTTTAAATTCTTAGTGATATTTGTAATCATGTTTTCCTAGGTGAAGAGAATAATTAATTGAAACATTTACTATAATGTCTCAAAAATGATAAATACTTTCTTTTAATTTTATATTAAATAGTGTCATAGGCCTATGTGTGCTTTAAATACTTCAAATGATATTAAGCTTAACTTATGCATATAAAACAATCATTGACCTTTTCTGCATTTTTAATGAATTCAGAAAAATAATATTCATAAAATAAGAGGAAAAAATCATACAATTCGTAACACATGAATACAATAGAAGAGTCACCTAATTTCTGTCTCAAATGTAAATTGAATTAAGTCAGCTACTATTCTACTATTCTTTGATTTATACAATGTTTTATAACAAAATATTAATTATAACTACTAATTCTTGATAGAATTATAAAGATGTCATGTCTGGAGATATACCACAGTGCTTGCCTAGCATGCAATAAGGTCCTGAGTTTGAGCAATGCAAAAATATATATATATATTTTTACCACGTCAATGTATATACATATTGTGCCTTAATAGTAAAACAAAAAAATAGCTTATAAAAGTAGTTTTTGTTATTTCATATGCATGAAAACCAAAACAATTTGAAGTTATTTTACTATTTATACAAGATGTCCTAATTAGCAATAATGTGGGAAAATTATTTTATAGCTTTAAATATGCCTTTATATGAAGGACACATCTCATCAGACAATGATTTTTAAAGCATTAGAAAAATACTTTGCCTACCAAATCTACAAGGTGGTTTACAAAATTAAACATCAAAATGAATTATGTCATATGGAAATATAGAATTTTTTATGTCAATCAAAATAAAGCATATATTTTTTCCTAAAAAATCATTATGTATTCAGGAATATGGTTACATTATAGCAATGACAGTATTTTGTCTTAATGACAAAAAAATTATATTTTGGGAATTTTAAGTCAAAAGGCACTCTCAACATAGTAAAAGCCTCACCAATTATATGTGAAATTCATTGATTCACATTAGTAGCACAGTGATAAAGAGGACATCTTTATAGTCAACTCTTAATAAATGCTTCTTGTGCCAAATTGTTGAGACATTTGTTCCTAAGTAATTGAATACTTTCAGTACTTTCATGCTTAATTTAAATACTGTATGACTGAGCTATAACATGGCATGTCATTATCTAGATTTATACATATGTATGTATTTGGGGTGCCTTGAATTTTAATAAATGCTACCATTAAAATCTTCTAGGATGAGCAAAAGTCTCATCCCTAAAACCACCATTGAGAGACACTGTTTCTCTGTAAATCCTGAGGCAGTCATCTGAGATACAAAGGGCAATCTGACTTGTTATCCTATTCAGAAAGCTAGGAACATCATTTTACTAAATTGTCCGAAACTGATCTGGTATAAAAGGGGAAGAGTGCTTACTAATTAACATGAACAGCCTATCACAGTAACTACTATGATAAACTCTCTGCAGATTGAGAAAGGGCTGCTGCTACTGGGGCTACTGTAGCTCTTAGAAAAGTTCATAAAGGATCCGTTATGAAGTAAATAGTCTTCCTTAGTCATGCCAGTGGCATTGGCTTCTGTGGACACAGCTCATCTTCAAGAAGTTATTGAGGTTACCTACTTGGACTGTCCTTGCTACGTGCATATTTGTAATCAGACTACAGACTGTTTCCTATTTTCCAACCTCCATAGGTGGCTCTGGAATCTTGGGAACTTATCACAGAGAGGACATGAGTAATTACCTTCTTTAGGCGACTGAAGACAAAACCAAGAGGAAAAAAATATCTATTACGTGACTGTTTCCCCAAACCTAATCCTTTTCTGTAGAGCTTTTCCAAAAGTATCAAAGGCTGTTCTTAAAACCTTTACTTAAGAAACTACATTTTAGTGTGTCAAAATATTATTCTTGTGACAATTGTCCCATTATAAAGTCAGCAGGTCAATTACTATATCTGGTTAAGATGTATTTGAATTAGATATCTTAACTTAGAAAAATGTTAATTTTGAAAAATGTCACAGAAATGATCTTTATCGCCCAGGCTCTCTTTAAATTATTTTCTTAAACATGAAATATTCAAAACATAACATAACAAGATAGTCTCTGAAGGTAGACCTGTTAATAAAACATTGTAACTTTCATAAAAGTAAAAAAAACTGCTAAGTGTGGCATGCTATTTTAATTGTGGGATTCACTATTAGTTACATTAATCTTGCAAGTCAAATTAGGCTTAATGAAATAGCATTAAAAATAAGTAATTATAGTTGAATAATATTTTGCATATATAAATACAAAATTATGGGTGATGGCAGCAACCCGATTTTTTTTTTTTTTTTTTTTTTTGTACTGGGGATCAAACTCTGGTCCTTGCGTTTGCAAAGCAGACGCCAGAACGACTGAGCTAAATTCCCAGCCCTTTCAGATTTTTTTTTTTTAATTGAACTAACTGGATTACTAAATACCAGAACCGGGTTCCAAGAAGAGCAGAAGTTTCTTTTCCCAATCAACTATAGAGGGACTTATTCTTTGAAAATGGTTTAAATTAAGGCAACTCATAGAAATGAGGAAGAGTTTTTCTATGAGCCAATGTATTCTAGAAATCATTTCAAATATGTTTTTATTAATGAATGCAATGTGGAAATATATGTATTAGACAAACTGAAAGCTCATTTTCTCATCAGGCAAATATATTACAAACCACACTAATTGTTCCTACCAAATTTATGAAAAAGAACTTTTACTTGCCATGGTGAATTATGTTTAATGGTATCTTTAAACTTAGTTTGTTTCACCCTGTCTGAATTTATTTGATTTTTGTATAGTCAGAAGTTAGTTAATAAATAGCTATTGAATGAAAAAGAAATCATCCCTATCCCAATTATGGATAAGAACTATGTCATTTATTACTGAAATACATGCAAGAGTAGGTGATTAGATCCCTGTAGTGTGGCAGGAGATTATGACATCACTTCTTCAAAGCCATTAGACAAGTATCTCTCAAGTTTTCTTTTCTATGCTTCTGGTAGGTTTCAAAACAGATTCATTAGAACATTTTCCAGCTTCCTTCACATGAATTTCTTTATGTGCTTTACCACCATTGCCTGTCTTTGCTGGAATATTTAAACAAAATTAAAATAAATTCATTTATTAAGTATTTATGCAGTAGATATATGTATATAATAATATAAATATATGCAAATGGTTACCAACAGGCTGAGCATGGTTGATCTAAATGCTTCATGCAGTGTAGTAGTTATGAATAAAAATCATCTGAATGTCATCCACCTCTGAAAGTCACCAACAGTGCCCAGAAACATCCAGGGCTTATTTTGGTGTAAGTGACACCAAATAAGACTCAACTATTTTTAGATATTGCTTCAGAAAGCAGCTGAGGCAACAGTGGCACAGTATGAAACTCAGATTTGGCAAATACATGTGGTTCATAATGCAGCGTATAGAACTCTGATCGCACTGAGGCATGTAAGCTAGCCACTCGAGACTCTAGGCGACACCGCTCTTATCTAGGAGGACCATGATAACTAAGACATCTATCTTCCATTGGCCCATAATATTTCTAGACACTAGATTTAGGTACATAAAGAACTTACAAGTTTAAAACATTTTAAAGGCAAATGTGACAACCTACTTTACATTCATTTTGGCCACTTTATTCGGTCACTAGAAGATTCTTCAAGAGAACAGCCTGTGGTTTCTGTACTATTATATTATATGCCATCTTAAATAGGAAAGCTTATCTGGTCTAGTGTTCTGTCCTCCTTCTGTTAACTATAAAATTATGGTATGTGACTAAACTAATCACTCTACCCTTTTGTCCAAAACAAATGAAATATACTCCCTTTATCAAATTTAAAAAATAACTTAGTGCTTAACAAAATGGTCTCATGCATACAATTACCAAAAGCCAATTTATACCATCCATTAATTCCATGTGTGTCTAGACTAAGAGAATCTAATTATCTGGGGCAAGATTGAGAGAAGTAAAACAATAAATGTGAACTTACAGCCTTATCCCTCATCTGCCTTGGGGATTGAAAGTTTCCTTTCATAAAGCCATTAACTATTTTGAAAAGGAAAGAAAAAGACCACTGGAGTGAAAGAAAAACTTAAAAGAGCATCCAGAGAATCATAGAAGAGAGTACTGAAGGAATACAATAGGGAGGAGTTCTAGCAGATGATACATTATTAAAACGCTTAAAGCCTGAGGCAGGAAGACCAGCAGTTGTAGACCTGGGCTACATAGCAAGTTCAAGACTGGTCTGGACCTTATAATAAGGCTATCTCAAAAGTAAAGAAAAATGTAAAAGCAAAAGCAAAAATCCATTCTATTTGGAGTCCTGATCTGAATAATACAATACAGTTTTTCTAAATACAGTACTCATATGAGCTTTACAAACTTTCCCAAAAGATAACAGAAATAGATATGCTTTAGCGATTCACATAGCAGCAGTAGGCATTGCCTTTTTATGATTTATCTATTGTTTACATAGACATCCCTGCTGTGACTCATTGCCGCTCCTTCCCACCTTTTCTTATCTTTTTCCAAGCCTTTTCCCGTCCACAGTCAGATCCAATTAGCCATAGAGGAAAGAGGCAAGCCAGTGAGAAAACCAAAATCAAAATTCTCCCTGCAGTGTCCTTCAATGCAGAGAGGATTTGTTCCTAGACTCTAAAAGTGAAACTATGGATAGGCTTTGTTCCGAGGAAACATTGTTACTTCTGTTGGATTCTAGCCTGTGAAGTCCCACATGCCTCAGATACAAAGTAAGTTTGAAGAAGTTTGATCGGTTGGCCCTATGTCTGAATATTAGACTGTGCTCTGACAAACAACCTTTCTACATTAACATGGCAATATTAATTAGTAATGCATGTTTACACTTAATTGGTTAATGTTTACGATGCATATTAAAGTCTCAAAAGGGCTCTGCTGACATTTTTTACCATATATATAAACATATCATATATAAAAAGATATGATCATATATAAACATATCATATATAAACAAGGAATACATGCCCCTCAGTGAAATGCCCTGTAACACTTAGGGAAACATGCTTTCTAGAAGATGTACATACATTTTAGACTTTGTGGGAGGGTTGTCAGATAAACTATAGAATACTCATTTAATTTTAATTTTAGATAAGTAATGAATAATTTTTAGTAAAAATATATCCTAGTGTACTCAGTATGTCTTTAAATTATTGTATTATCTTGTGTTTTGATTTGCTTAATCTGACCACTCTCCTTTGTCAGACCTAAAATCTCTTTGGCAACTACCAACCCAATTAGTGTGAGGTGAAAGTAGCCACAGACAAGCCAGAGAAGAGTAACCATAAACGAGGCATGAAAGTAAGCATGTGTCGTTATGTCCTGTGTTATTTATAAACACAGAAACTTGAACTTCACATCTTCCCATGCATCAGGAAACACTGTTTCTTTTGATACGTGTGTATTTTAAACATGAAAGATGTAAGAGTCATTTTTAACTTGTAGATTATATGACAGCAGGCAATGGGCTGAATTTGGCCTGAGCTCTGGTTTGCCGTACTCTAAACGCCTTTTAAATAAACAGGGTCAAGCAAGTCACTTCTTGCAGTGTAACTGATGCAGACACTTAGGCATCCAAGTGTCTATACAGTGTCTTCTGCACTGGCCCATCCCGCCAGCTATGAAGAATTGAATTCTGAACTCTGGCAGCAAGCTGCACCCATTTCAGACTCATCTACTTAATGACAAATGAGAAGGCAAATTGCTCCAGTAGTCGCAGGTAGGGTGTGTCTCAGATTAATATCTGCCCCCTTTGAGCTAGAGGAGAGCAGGATAGCCCACACCAACATTTTAACTATTTTAAAACTTTAAGTGACTAAAATAAAAGAAAAATCTTTTTCAACAGATAAACAATTAGAATAAAACCTTACCTGAAGGTACAACTGTCTCCTTTGAAGCTTTTGGATATTTGCATCCAGAGCACTGGGGAGGAAGGTGATCCAGAGTAATTTCTCCCACTCTTGGCTTAACATCAAACCATCCTATAAACACAAAATTAATTCTGGAAAAGTTAGAATGGACATTGTCAAAGCTAAGACCATAATCTAAAAACTAATACATTTTAGCATTTGTTTTTCTCGTATTCCTAACAACAAATAAATAGGTTAAAAACCCACCTCCCACATTTTTCAAAATCTTTGATGCACGAAATACTTATTTTTAAAAGTTACTTTAAAGATAATATTCTAGGGCCAGGGATTTAGCTCAGTGGCACTGCACCTGCCTTGCAAGCGCAAGGTCCTGAGTTCGATCTCTGGTACCAAAAAAAAAGGATAATATTCTATGTCCTTATTAGTTTTTTATGCATTTTTAGTCAATAATTTTAGATAGAAAGGTGAGCAAATCACAACTTTAATTTAATAGGGTGAATTTTTACAATGAATATATCTGGGTTACCATCATCCAAATCAATAAAGCAATATATACATAGATATATATGTTATATATGTAATATATATCTATATATCTATACATATAGATCGATATATATGTACATACTAGTACCTTAAAATCTTCTGCCTTTCCCAGATGGCAAATACTACCCTGACTACTATAGTCATAAGTTAGTTTTACTTGTTTTTATATCTAATCTAAGAAAAATTATAGAGTATCTATGGCATTTTTGCAAACATGTTTATACTATAAATATACTGACTCAATATTAACTGAGCCTCTACAGTACAGTACTTGAGCAATTTTTTCTTTGCTTCTAAACGTTTTTTCCTCTTCTGTAGTTCATTCCTCACTGAAGTCTGAAGAGTTCCTAAGGTAATTCTACTCATCTGTCATGCCCTGTACAGGCTAAATAAATTTAGTTATGTTATTAGTAACATCCCTAGTACTATAAGTATCAGTATTATTATTTTGGCAACAGATGAGAAACTTTTACAACTAGCAGTCTCAAAAGGCAAGACTAGAAGCAGGGCATATTCAGGCACACCTGTAATCTTAGCAACCTAGAAGGCAGAGGCAGGAGGATTCCAAGTTTAACCCCAGCCTGGGCAATTTAGGACTTTGTGACACCCTGTCTCAAAATAAAAAATGCAAAAAAACAAACTAAAGAAGAAGCTCAGTGTGAAGGCCCTGGAAGGTGTGGGGGTTATCCAGACTAGACAGAAGAGTATTACTTAGAAATAGGAAGAATTGAGGGGTTGAGGTGCTGTGGCTAAAGAGAAAGTATATTCAAAAGATGACAACAGAGATAAGGTGAGCTGTGCAAAGACGATCCTAAAATAAGAAAAAACAATGTGATGGATTTGTAGTTTTAAAAGTAACCTGACAATTTAAATGCTGCATGAAGAAAAGAATTTAAGTGAACTGTAGAGGTTGCAGGAAGTGATCATAGTTTTTTGTAGTTTGAGGAAAAAAGGAAATACATTAATTTTAGACTAAGATAAACAGGCATGTTAAAAAGTCTAAGCAGTAAAAGGAGTGTAAATCTAAAAGTTTCAAAATTTGTACCAGAAAAAAAAAACTGTCTTTGGGGAAAAAAATAGTCCAAAAGAAAAAAAAAATGTAGATATACCAAAAATAAGTAAAAGTATAAAAACTTCAATATAATGATAAAACTGATTGCAAATACATAATGACAGGCATAAGTGGATTCATAACAGCAGATATGCTGTGACTAAAATAACAAAAATCCCGTGCAACAGGATACTTCACACAACTAATCCAGGACTTGGTAAAGTACAGGTGCTTAATTACAAAGTAACAGCAATTAACAGCATAATGCTGAAGTGCCTCACAGGTAAAGTTGAACAGAAGGCTCAAAAACAGACCTGTGCATACAAAAAGTTGCAGCATGAGAGTGCATACAAATGAGTGGGGGAAAGAACAGACTTTTCAAGTGGTACAAAAACAATTGTCCTTCAAATGAATTAAAACTGAAAGGCTCTACTTCACCATTTTAAATGTAGGAGAATATATTTATAATGTCATGGTGGAAAAAGTCTGACTACAAACTTTTTATTCCATTGTCATTTGGCCATACCCAATTTTACGAGTCACATCGCTTATGGGAATAGCCATTTTATCTCAGTACAAATGTCTGGATTCCCTGTTTAGATACTCTCAGGTTGAAATCAAAGTGTTGGCAGGGCTGCATTTTTTTTTTCTAGAAGCTTGGAGGATGAGTCCCCTTGCAAGCTCATGCCAGTTGCTCGACAGAAGGTGATTCCTTGCATTTGTGGGACCAAGATCCCTGTTTCTTTGCAGGTGTCAGACAAGTGTAGTTCTTTTGATTCTAGAAGCTGGGCTGCATGCTTTCTATATCTCCCCACAGCAACGACAAGTCGATACCCTACAAGTTACACTTCAAACGCTCTTTTCCTACATCTAATTCCAGTTGCAGAAAGATCTTAGCTTGTAAGAGCTCATGTGATTAGACTGGGTTCATCTGAATAATCCAGCATATGCTTCTTGTCTTAAAGTCCACACTTTAGTTACTTCTAGACAGGAGCCTTTGTCATGTAATGTCACATATTCACAGGTTTTAGAGATTAGATGTAGACAATTTGGAGACCCATTCTGCTTACTACAAAGTTCAAGAAAATTAGTAAAGTTAGGACTTGCATATGAATGAAGTGAAAAATAACAGATAAATAGTATGCATAGATAAAGTCAGTATTTCAATCAAGGAGTTATAAACCAAGTCAGCAGAAGAGTACTCTTGGAAGGGAGTTATCAAGTTGACCAGAGAGAAACATGCAGGGAAAAGGCAAGCTATCAGTAATATTCCATTTCCTAAACCACAGAAGATACTCTATTCAGTGTTATTAGTCTTTTAAAACATGTACATGCATTATATACATGCATTTGTGATACACATTAAAATTCTGTTTCAAACATACAAAGTTGCAATATAAAACACTCCACAAAAGGACTAATAACCTGAATTCTTTCTTTACATATAAATTAGAGTTAGAGCCAAAAATCCAAACAAAATTGAGAAAGCAAAACAAGAAATGCAGGAGATAGACAAATAAACAGAATAAGGGAAGACAGAACACAAATTCTCTCTCAATTTAGGATGGAGTATGAGGTAAAGCTGGTTCTTTTCTCTCCTTCCATAGACCAGGGAGAAAATGCTTTCACAGAAAATAGAGTACAAAGGGGAGATAAATCCTAATAATCTATATCTGCCTCATTTCCTGAATGGTTCGAGTACCATGGAAATGATGGGTGTCTGGAATCAAGTGAAGTAAGATTCCAAGACAGGAACGGTGTCCTAATTAGAGTGCTAGAAAACAAAAGGGGGATCATTCTTTGGGTTTCAGATGATAGCAATGCTCTTAGTTGCTTTGGTAATTATTTCAGTAATACTTCTGGGAAGGTAACACAAGTGGCTCCAATCTACCCACCATCCACACACCAACGAGGATACTATGCAAAAGACAACACTGACCACTGTCTAGACGGCATGGAGAGTGAATCACAGTTATCCAGCTTCCCCCAAAGGATGTGTATTCTGACACATTCCCATCCTCTTGAGTTACGTGAGTTGATATTTGAACTTGTATCACCAAAAGTTTACTTGAATAAATTGGCAAATATTTTTTCCTATACTAACTTGTGCTTTTATTAAAAAGAATGAATTAAAAGCCACTTCACTACTAATAAACCATTCTACTGCTAGCCTAAGAGAAGCCTTTTCCCAACAAGCCAGCGACAGAATGCAGACAGAGGCCCGAGGCAGGCTCTTCTTTCACCTGTGCTCAAGATGAGTCTCATTGGGTTTGAAACAACTCAGCTTTTTCCAAGGAAAACGTACCTGGATTCAATTTTCTGCTTAATTTTCTTTGCAACATTTGTAATACTAAGAGGAACTCTACTTTAAGTTCATTGCTGAGCATGTTGGGATTGCTTATTAATTCCGTTAACCTAATGTTGTCTTTAATAGACTTTGAAGCTGTAGACCTGAGAACCAGAGGTAACCGCATCTGGTAACTATAGTCGGTGAAATTCACGATGTCATCTTGGATACTTTTAATTCTGTAAATAAGAAATATTGTTGGCAAGTCACATTTTTGGCAATGAGATTTGTATTACCAAAATTTCAGATTGTACGACTAGAAAGTTTGAAATAACTTACTCTCGATGTGTTAACAAAGTATAAACTTCTTGTATCAATATTTCAGGTACTCCAGCTTTATAATGAATTGTTCCATGGATCAGTTCTTTAGGTAATTTAAGTTTCTTTTTTGCCAGAAACTTCAACAATAGAAAGAAAATGTTTTCATCAGAAAAAAAAAAAAATCCCACAAGAATCACCAACTACTATGGTGAACCCCCCTCCTTGTATATCAACCAATTTTCTGGTGGTCACCATGTTAATTACCAACAGATAATACATTATTATTGAACAGGAAAAACTATTACATCTCATACTAATTGAAGTGAGTATACTCAGCTTTATAGGTGACTCATGACACAATTAGAATTTAATGAAATTGAATTACTCTTACATACTTGAAAACAAATACAGGAACAAGCTGCCTACTCCATAGTCTTATATCTCAACATTCAGTCACACACACACACACACCTGTGACATTCAGAGTAAACCCTTCAAAAGACAAATTTAACAGTAAAGGGTTGCAAACTTACCTTCTCTAATTGTGCCCAGTTATCCAACTTGACTTTTAAAGAGGTTCCATTTTGAAAGTATGATAATTTAAGGTCCCAGGGAAAATATATACAGAATATTTCTGCAATCAGGAAGCCATTGGAAAAATCTCTGATCCATAGCAATAGGGAAATGAAATAAAGCATAGTCAATAATATAGTTTATATTGTAATTAATAAAAACAATCTAATATTCCACCCTGACCAAAATTAGGTTGTAAAATTCATTTTATTAGATCTTTCACTGAGAAAGAACTACTATGTAACAACATTGTGCTGAGATCATATACACAGCAAAGGCTTTGGTGTTCTTTTAAGGAACTCAAATGATAATTTGTACTGAATCTGAATTTTAACAAGATCCCCAGATGAGTCACACGCTCACGGGACGTTTCAGGTGCATCTTTGTAAGGTATATGGAATATCAATATTAGCAAACCCAGAGTCTTTCCTGCAAAACATTGGTAGCCTTAATTTTCGCAAAATTCAGTTTACTTTCTCAGAGCAAATATTAACTGCCAGTTACGCGTTCAAGGTAGCCATCCTTAAGTAACAAATTTCTAAGATCTCTGATAGCCCTCAATTTAGCGGCCATCTTTGTAGGAGGGTAGATCAATCCTCACTAGTAGTAAAGCTCAGTCTCCCTGAAGAAAGAGCCTTGACTGTTGTAGTATTTTTGTGATACTAAAGCATTCGTTATTAGCTTATTCAGAGATTTGTTAAACAAATGAACGATATGCTTCGTCGTATTTTTCTTAAGCCTTAAAGCCCTTCTTAAGCTCAAGTGTTTTCGTGTGTGACAAGAGGGCCCAGATCTTAATCTAGAACAAAAACAAGGCCAGCGCAGGCAACCTGAGGCGCAGAGGTTTCCGCGCCAAAGGCCGACAGGCGAAGGCCCGAGGCGACGCGGTTCTGGGGGCACTGGGCCAGGAGCGCCCCCGCTAGGTGGGCCTGGGCCAGGCTCCCAGCACCTGTTGATGTTCCTGGGGAAGAAGCTGAGGTTTAAGCTCTGAAGCCAGCGGAGAACTGAACGAGACACGCGGGAGTTCTTCGGAGGATGCGGATAGACCACACACTTCCTTGGCTTCCCTCGGATCGGAGCTACTGACTGTGGCGAAAGTGCCGGCGACTTGTTCAGGGCTGCCGCCGGCTTTGGTGAACACATTTCTGCCTGGCCGGCGGCAGCCATAGCGCTTT